ACGCCGTTTGATATATCATTTTCTTTAAAAACCAAGTAATTTTGATATTGAAAATTTAATCAAGGCATAAAACAAAAATAAGATGAACGTTTAGAAAACACAATAAAAGTTTATTTGGCCAGCGAAGGAATAATAAACGAACGATAAACCAAATCATAACAACAAAAAAATAGAATTTGCTATCTCACAAATATCTCCATGCTGCCAGACCAAGAACGTGTCATCCACGAACTTAAACCAACAATCAGGTTTTAAAAAAGGCATAATCGAGAGCAATACGTTCAAAATTATCCATATAAATGTCGCATAGGAAAGAATAAAGAGAAGAACCCATGACAAATCTAATATTCTGCTCTCACGACTTTTTGTTAACTATGGAAAAAGAACTTTCAACACACCCTCTAGCTAAATTAATGATGTCAACAAGTTTGTTTGGAAAAATGGAAGCTTGAACTAATGTATCGTGAAAACAATTGATAGCATTCTCCATCGGAACTTTAATAAGTAAAGAAACTACATCACATGATACCAACTTATCAAAAGGATTAAATTTAGTGCTTTTAATTTTCTCAATAAATTTAGCAGAAGTTTCAATAGTATATTTAGTCTTACTATTCAAATACGAAGACCTTTGAGCAATGTATTTTGCAATATACTGAGACGAAGTGCCTATTTAGGACACAATATGTCTAAAATTGATGTTTAACTTATGAATCTGAATGAGCAGTGTTTAAAGGTGTAATTTACATCGACACTTTTCTCTGTATAAATATAACTCCCATCACTACTGCTGCAACATCCTCATTTTCACCTACCAATATATGCTTCACAAATGGCCTTAATGGTCCTTTATCAACCATACTATGGAAATATGATGGATCATGAATTTTGGTATGAGAGCTTTACATGCACCCTATACTAAAAAGTGCTCTAATTTATTAGAAGTGCCAAGCATGTAAGCGGTGAATTGTTAGTTGTTTCTATCTCTGCAACGTAATCTGAAAATGCCAAACTGATCCTATGCAATGTCTATTAGATTGTAATAATCAACATCTCTCAGACTATTCTAATTCTTAAAGTGCATGCCAATGTCACAAGTTCTTTTATTTCTTTTGTGATATTTTACAATAGAAGCCAACTAATCAAAAAGACTGATTCTGTTGCAGTGAGTTATAAAGCATGAAGATATCACTGTTGCAAGTATTTTTTTGGCTTTCACACATTTATTGTTAAGATTTTGGGCAAAATCACCTTTTTTAAAAAAATTGAAATAATGATATATATTTTTGTATGGCCATCTATAATTGTTTTTCTGGTTAAGATGACTACATCTTTCTTTTTGCTGCAGAATAAGCACCATCCATATGTCAAACTTGACAGTAGTATGTTTAGGTGTAGCCAACTATCTTTGAAACTTTCAGTGGTTGACCGGAGCTGCTCCTCAGATGCAATGGCATGTGGCTCCTTACCTTATTCAGTGTGTCTATACTTCATGAAACTTTTGTGGCAGCCATTACATGCAAAATCACCTTTAGAAACCTGCTGACCAAAACCCTGGTTCATTTCCAAGGTAGGCACGTTTAATATTTCCACACTATTACAAGTGTAAAATGTGAAAGTGACTAATATCCAGTAGTTTGTCCACACACACAATTTAACTACTGGGTTTCATATTTGCAGATTTGTAGTTTTAAGATGCGCTCATATGACGCAATTCAGTTTCATGTCCATAGCCATCCCTATACATATATGAATTTGCAACACCATCTTGATAATAGCATTGTCATTAAATTGATGTAGAGATTAACCGAGGACAGATCCGGACACGACAATCTTGTAATCTTATTTGAAGCATAACATTCTTTGTTGTATTTAAGTTCATTTTTAACGACAGTGTGTGCCAAATTCTATTCTTTTTGCAAGCCATCCTCTCACGTTTCTTGCTTTCACTGAGAAAAAATTGCACACTGATAACTTCAAGATAATTATTTGTACACATTCATGCTCGATCAAAATTGTCATTCGCCCAGTGAATCTAATTTGTGTCATGGTTGATCGCAGCAAGGTTTTAATCAAACTGGAGTTTAGAAAAGTTTTTTCCACTAGCAATGCTGATGGACAAAAGTCAGCATAATTCTCTGAGACAAAGGTGTTGGAAATGATAATGTTAAATCAGTCTTGAACATCTGTTCTCATCCATTTTCCAGAGTCATTTTATTCACTCTCTGTAAAACGGTCTAAAATTCATCAAACAGCTCTGTCACACTAACATCAGTTGTCTCACCATCTAATAAACCAATTTGAATTATTGATGCAATGTTTTAGCAATTCCCTTAAGTTCGTTTTTGTTAGGTCAGTAATATAATGTAAGAAACTAAATAATGAAGTGTGTTTTGTAGCTTCTAAAAATTGCTTTTCAAGAATTCAGTGCCTGTGTCAACAATTTGTTGAGAATTAACAATAGATTCATCATAGTTTTCGTTTTTCATAAGCAATCGAATCTGCTGTTCTTGGAAAAAGATTCCAATGGTTTCCATTCATTGCACTCACCAGTTCATTTGAAAACACCTATCAATCCTGTACCAATGAATGAAATTTTTGTTTTATATTTGTGGAATAGTTTAAAAACACTATTTTACAGTTGCTTGCTGGTGGGATTTGTTTCATACAGCGAGCTGTGCGATATTACAACATTACCCAAATTTGGAACTTATCACCTTGGCAACAATTTATTTTACATTGGAATGGGACTTCACTCCACTGGCTTCTGGGAGGATATTGTCTTCTGCAATGGAGACTAGAAAATCATAGTTACACGAAAAGCGTCAATTCTCTCTTCCCTTTGTGTATCATTCTATGGTTTCAGAGTTAACTACAGAGTGTGTAGTAGTAATATTTCCTAAGAATGAATTGAGGCAGAAATGTGGATGTATATGCTGTGAATCAAGTCGAAGAATGCAATTAGCTTGGTGCAATGGTTGGCTGCATCTTTCAACACGAGATTCAGAAAGAGAGCATTATACGGTGTAAAAAAGCTCTTGCCTTTAAGTCTCTGAGTCTACAGTTCTTGCTTTTCATGTCATAGCCTTGACCTCGTATGCTTCCCAGGGATAATTCTATTTCTTCAAGTTTGCTGAGAACAACTTAGGTCATATATACTAGCACTACTTTTTCTTTCAGTGGTAAAATTCCGAAGAATTGCTTATCAATATTGACTACGCTGTTCTCAGTAGCTGTAACATAATGAATGATTATTGTGACCTGTTCAACGCGGGTTATGTTCGAATTACATAAATTTATTGTTTGTTTGTTTGAATTTATGCACAAAGTTACACAATGGGCAATCTGTGCTCTGTCCACCACGGGTATTGAAACCCGGTTTCTAGCGTTGTAAGTCCGCAGACATACCGCTGTGCTACTGGAGGACCATACATTTATTAAAACTCAAAACCCCAATGATATATGTTTTGGTTTTATTTTTCGAGACTAAGTACCAGGTTGACAGTATCTTCTATCAACCAGATTTTTCTTAAGTTCATCGTTTGATAATTTGTTTTCAGTAATAACTGTTTTAACTGTCAATTTTTTGCTATTTACACTTTTTAGAAACTTAAAAAAAAGTTCTTTCAGGCGCATTTTGCTACTATAGTAAGAGTAAAAAACACAAAAAACGACATTTTTTGTTGTTTTTTTGATACAATGAATGGTAAAATCTATATTATTAGTTAGTGTTGCCTACGGTGGTGGTAACTGCGTAACCAGTAATAAAGATTTTACCTTTCATTGTGCCTGAAAACGGTGTTTTTCAACACTTAATAAAGGATTGTTTTTATTGATTTTAGCGGAAAGCTATGCAATGGGCTATCTGCGCTCTGACCACTGCAAGAAATCAAGCCCTTAATTCTAACACTGTAAGTCAGTAAAGTTATTGCTAACCCATCGGGGGACATGTAGGGAAGGAAAATGAACATTTCGACAGTGTGTTTTTATTGGCTAGCCACATAATTCGTGCTCAACTAAGAGGAGAAGATAATATGATATGTGATATATAACAGTACTGCTGGCAACTGAATTCATCGTGATTATTCCTTCTAGAGGTGACCAATAATTCTTGGTAGGATACTTGATAACTCTACAAAATAACACTCTTTAAGGATAACGTTCTCCAGAAATATATCTTAATCTATAAATTCTCTAGAGATGATTCTTTATTGGAATAGTTCAGCAACCGTGGCCATACAAAAACATCTCTTTCTTTGGGTTTTGTTGTTGTTTATTTTAGAGCAAAGCCACATTGGGCTATCTGTTCTGTCCACCGAGGGAAATCGAACCCCGAATTTTAGCATTGTAAGTCTGTAGACTTCCCGCTGTCCCACTGTGGGACCTTTCTTTGGGAATAACCCTCTCTGAAGATAGATAACTCTTGGGAGAAGGAAAGAAATGATAATTTAATGAAGACTGGAAGGAGTTTCCAGTTTTATTATTCTATCTTTGAGTTGATTTATTTTATATTCTTGAAACGGATAAGACACCTAGATGAAAAATGTCGGCGATGATAGGGAAAATTTTAAAACAATTAAATAATATTTTCCAACAACTTTTATACAAAATATTTGTTTGTTTTAGCAAAAAACTATACAACAGGTTCTGTCCACCGCGAGGAATCGAACCCCGGATTTTAGTGTTGCAAGCTAAACCACTGGGGAACTTTAAACACAAAGAAATACATTTTTGGAATGCCAGTTACTAATGCTGCTGAGGCTCTATGCATCCTTTTCAATAATTTATATTTTATAGACTGAATATGCAGTTTCACACTTTATATTCTAGTACTGTTTGACGTATTTTGCTTTTATCAAAATCATAATTTTATTTTCTGGATTGATATACATGTTATAGTAAACTTTAGTTATTGTTTGCCAGAAGGAAATAATATGTACATAATTAACAGAAAAAGAAGTTAAAGCCAGTGTTAAAAGTAACAACCAACACGCACACAGTCAATGTGGTAAGACATATATTACAACTAGGTTAACATCGAAAATACAATGGTTTACATTAAACTTCCTTTTACAATTTATTGAATATTTAATGTAATAGTTGGCACCAAATTATTAAATGTTTATTTTTGTAAGATAATTTAATATATCAGAAAAATATCAAAACTGAAAAAAATTCTTCCAATATGTTGCTATTGAAACGGGTCTGTCATTTCGCGTTTAGTATGATCAAAAGTAAACAATAATGACACATCGTAAGCTTAAACGTCTGGAATACAATGTGATTTAAGATTTTGTTTTATTATACAACAAATATAAAAAAAACAACATATATTTCAAATATTTGCTTCAAATATACATTTTAGTTTATTATTTTCCTGTTAGTACTAAAAAAGCCATTGAAAACAGATAAATTAAATCGCTAAGTAAGTTTCAGGTTATTACGAATTCTTCCTGGCAAATCATAATAAAAAAATATATATTTCAAATAGGTTTTAGTTACAAAATTATTAGATACTCATAGTCCTGTATCCTATCATATATCACTTAATAACAATAAAATTGAGTATCATTTTGCTTGGCGTACAACAAGCAAAAATTATTTTTTCTGAAAATCATTTTCTAAAATACAAATATAAAGTTTCTGTAATTTGTGTTTTTGTTCGTAGAAAACAAGTTTATATCAAGATTTTAAACTTTTGTCCCCCATTTGTCAAACTAATGAAATACTAAAATGGTTTGAAACTATACTAATTTATAAAACTCGTCAAGTAACTGTTACCATGGTTTGTTACCAATAAAACAATGATTTTTTGACACCTATTCGACTAGAGAACCATTAATTATAATCAAATGGCAGAGTAACTTATTGATACTGATGAGTAAATTGGAATGGACGGCAACTTCCTGTTGTAAGAAAATAACAAAAGTGTAGAAGAAAATGTTTAGAAAGTCTTCCGTTTCCAGGTCAGTGTCTGATCTGATCTGATCCGATCTGTGGTAATTATTTAGGTAAAAATATCTTTCAGGCCCCGAAGGTGTCCGAAATATAACCAGGGGCGGTCAGAAACTTCTGTTTCTCTTCCTCCCACTTCATGAATTAAGATTATATGGCACGTGAATATGAACGATTTTCGATTGACCGGGATGGAGTTTTTAATTAGAAACATAAATGTTTGATGCTGGACTAACTTGGTGGAGGGTCTCAAGACATCAGGAGAAGCTGTGTTTATGGAGATCAGGAAATAAGACGAAGGAAGGTGAGTTTCGAGCTTCTTGTTGATAACAGTTGCTTCTTGGGATTGTGGAATACATCAACGATGTAATATGTTGATGAATGACGATTGACTAAGGCTGTTCCAAGATTATACAGTTACAAGTACAAACGCGTGAAGAGAAACAAACAAAAAAGTCAGTGTGTGTAAGATGTTGTAAGTCTTTATAGTATCTGGTGGATTTTGGAGGACGTGTTGTGATTGGTTTGTTTATCCCTGGTTTTGATTAGTGGAAAGAGTGCATGAGGTTTCAACCAGTGGCAGCCATAGATTACTTACCTCTAATCCCGAATCTCTGTTTAGTTGCCGTGTGTTCCAGTTTACTCATCATGAATACTCTGCCTAAACAATCTATCAAAAAACTTATTTATACATTGTATCATTTTAACCCAGATGTTTAACACGAAATTCTGCATGGATTATCTTGGTTATTAAATCTTCTTTTGTGTGATAGAAATTACAATTATATTAAATAAAGTTTTCAACAAATCGAACAAAAGTATTTTATATATTCGATGTTCTTTCACTGTCACGACGTGTTGAATACAACAAACTTAAATTACTGCACTTTTAAATCAATTACCTTTCTGCCCTAAAAACAAAACAAAAATAATTTATAGCATGTGAGAAAACACATAAAAGCAGCATTTATGAAGGACCAATTTGAACCAGCATTTCTTAAGAGGCAGATTAGATGTCAACCGTTAATTGTGTTAAACTAAGGCACATTGTATGACAACCGCTCATTGGCTTGAACTAAAATATACTGCATTAGAATCGCTTATTGGTTTACTTTAAACTAAAGTACATTACATAGCAACCGCTTATTGGCTTAAACAAACACAAGTTGCATGGCAACTGCTAATTAGTTAAAACTAAAGCACATTCCATGACAATTGCTCGATGTGTTAAACTAAGGCACTTTGCATGACAACCGCTCATTGGTTTAAACTCAAATACATTGCATGACAGTCATTCATTGATTAAAATTATAGTACGATGCAAAACCCTTTCGGATGCCTTTAGAGTGATTAATATATATTTGCATATTGTTTATTATATATATATATATATATATTGTTAATCAACAATTTAATCTTGATGAAAACTTGTCGATATTTTCGAGTGATTTTGACATCAAGCTTCTCTGGTTCTTGTAGAGTTTTTCAACGAACATTGTCTCTAACGACAAGATCATGTTTTTCACATGTTCGACGCTTGCAATTAATCTGTGCGTGCTTACCACACCTACATTCGACACACGGTCCACTAGAAAATGGGATAAGGGCGCCCTCTGTAAATTCTTCTCCGTTTACGTGACATGCTGAAATATATTAACAATTTATTAGTCACTCTTTTATCTTGAAATAATTCAGATGTTTCTTGATTCTAGCACTAAAATTTGTAATACAGATATTGGTAAGAAAAATTAAACTTTTGGACGTCTTAGAAAAACTGTAGTTTGATAAATATTTGTCTTTCCTCTTACTTTTTGAGACAATTAAAGGATTGACCATTCTTGTGAAGCCTTGGACAAAATGAGAATTCATGAAAGTCGTTTAGTTTGTCATCTTTACACAATTCACACTTGTTTAGTCTTGTAACAATTCCGATTTATTTATGACAAAATCGGAGAAAGATAATCAAAAAATTGTAATTATTGACACGTTAATACAAGAGCAAAAAATAATTATATCGATTTTTTTTTAAACTTAACGAATTGCATCTCAGTTTTGTTGAAAAATTCTCTGTGATGTACTGGATCAAATTACCTCCACCCATCAGTATGCTGTTGTTAATATACCGTTGTAATAATTCTACCTTATATAGAATAGAACTCATCACGTAAATAAATCTGTAAATTTCTTGGAGTATGCCTACGAGTGCATATGCAGTGTGTTTTGAAATCAGGTTTTACAATATAAAAAAATGTTACATTTCAAGTTTAAGAAGCAAAAATATTTGTTTGCAAGTTCATGTCCTCTTGCAACGTGAAAAACAAAAATACAGATTCCACCCCAAGGTGGCTATTCACTTTTATTCTTAATAAGATTAAGAAATACTTTCAGTTTTGTTATAAGAGTAATATCGTCATGAATGACAGCTTTAATAAAGTTACTAAAGTGAAATGTGAGTAGCAGTCTAGTATTAGTAAGAGTTTAGTAACTGCAAACCTAAAGCTGGCTATAAACAATAAACTTCGGTTTTTCTTCAAATTGCAAGCTGATTCCTATTTGATTTAAATGAGTATTTCGTCGTCTGTCCTAAAGCATAAATATTATCATCATAAATTCTGAAATTTGTTTGGCAAAGAAATGATGAACAATTAACACCTGAAAGCGAGTTATGTCAATATCGAGAAAAGTCACGTAAATAGATAATTAATTATATTAAAAATGTTTCAAGACATGAATTAACACAATATAGCTTTTGCGCATTTATCTGTGTGTAAACATATCAAAAAAGTTTTTAAAATGTAAAAAATATATGTTAAGAAAGATATAAACGAATAGAAAGGCTTAGAACATGACAATTAGATATATAAACAGCTTTCAATGGTAAGAAAATTTTATTGCTAAGTGTGTGTTTTCTTACACCAAAGCAACATTGTGCTATTTGCTTTGTCCACCGAAGGGAATCGAACCCCTGACTTACCGCTGTCCCACCGCGGGACTTAATGCTACTTGTTCGATGGACACTTTCTCGTGATCCGTTATCAGAAAATACAGAGAACATTATATTGTATTTCAGTAATGGAATATTTAAAAAAAAAAATGTTTACTGTTACTCAATATCGTAACAATTCATAAAACACTTTACTCAAATTCAGTGTTAGAACAGCTTACAATATAATTTATCGTGGTTCTATATTAGTGAGTAATTGTCGAAAGTGTCCAGTTTCTTAGACAATCTTAGAAAGCAGGAGTTGGTGAGTATTTTTGGAAAGGTATTCAAAAAATATGTAATAAGTACTTTTATAGCAATATTCGTACAGGGATCTCATGTTAGTAAATATTTCAAGGGGGACCAGGAACACAAAACCTGAGGTCGAATTCGAGTTCAGCGGCCCTGAAAACCTATTCCTAAACCCCAAAATACTTGGATAACCTTCTGGATGCGTTTTAGTACTTGGTAAAGGAGGGGGGAATAGCCATATAGATAAGAACACCCCCGGACCATCATAACTTCTGAAATACTAGCATGAAAACTATGGGAGAAATTCGCGGACAAACCAATTCACAAAAATACAACGTGTATTAATATAGGATGTTTGTTCTAACCGTAATATTTCCTTGAATCTTTTTTTCTTTTTCCATGGCAGGTTTACATTTTTCCACCTTAATTTTAGTTAAGGTTAAGAAACAACCAGAAATGCTCAGAAAACTTAATTTCTCTCCATCTCGCACGCGAATTTATTTAATTAGCCAAATGAGTAAGATTAGAAGCTCTTGATTATTTAAAAACCTGCCTATGTTTATACGTGTGTGTCCAAGCAAAGTCCATTTTCGCCTTTATTTTCTTGAAACGTTTGTTTTGTTTGCTTTGTTTTGTTTTTAATTATGCACAAAGCTACACAAGGGCTATCTGTGCTCTGCCCACCACGGGTATCGAAATCCGGTTTCTAGCGTTGTAAGTCCGCAAGACATATCGCTGTGCCATTGGGGAGCCCTTGAAACGCTATGCCACTGTGTTCTATTTTAACATATTGTGGGAGGGTAATAAACTCCGAGACATAACCAGCTTAAGACATTGCACTTTTTTAGTCTCGAGTTTAAAATTAAAGTATTGGACGACAATTATCTGAAACTTGGTGGATCTAGGAGTAATACATTCTATTCTCAAACAGATGCTCTTATGTATCAGAAAAATCAGGATGAAAACTTCATGGTTCCTTTCTGCCAAATGTTTCCACGTAAAAAACATGTATAGTTAAATATTAATTCTGGGTGGCTAATATGTTCATGTCGAAGATTTGCAGGAACAAAATCACTCAACAGGGTAGAACAGGCTGGGTGCATTTGCTTTCTTTTCAACAAAGTAGTTTCCAAACCCAAAATTCTAAACACAATTCTGTTAAATTATCTCAGGGTTTACAATAGTACCGGCTGTACCAGGTATAAATGACACCATCTTCTGCTAGAGTCTACTTATCAGTTTGAAAATATCTTCTTAGTTTGCCATTATATGGTCTCGATATGTTATCTCCCTTTAGATCCATCTTCACTTCCATACAACACATCTGTATTCCTTTGACATGACTGGGCCTGGCATGGCCTGGTGGTTTCCATACGACACATCTGTATTATTTTGACATGTCTGGGCCTAGAATGGCCTAGTGATTTCCATACGACACATCTGTATTCCTTTGACATGACTGGACTTGGCATACCTGGTGGTTTCCATACGACACATCTGTATTCCTTTGACATGACTGGGTCTGGCATGGCCTTGTGGTTAAGGCGCTCGGCTCACAGTCTACGAGTCGCGGGTTCCAATACCCGCCACTGAATATGCTTGTTCTTTCAGCCGTGGGAGCGTTATAATGTGAGGGTCAATCCCACTCTTTGTTGGTAAAAGAGTAGTCCAAAAATCGGCAGTAATTGGTGTTGACTGCCTTCCTTACTTCTAGTCTATCACTGCTAAATTAGGGACGGCTAGCGTAGGTAGCCTTCGTGTAGCTTTGATCGAAATTCAAAGTAATCCAAACCAGTTCATATGACTAAATGATGTTTCGATAACATTACTTCAGTGTGGTTCTATAACTACAAAAGTGTCTCAATTTGATGAATAACATAAGCTCTAATGACCCAGTTGCGATTTCAGTGGCTCATATGTAATGTGTGCATATGCTGATTATTGTACATTTATTCAATGCTTACTGTTGGCTTCAAAGCAATAGAAGTTTGAAATATTTAGAAATGTAAAAAAGAAAGATTTTCAAACTTTACATAAACAATCACTTTCACAAAAAAACAGCCAGCGCTGTCTTTAAACGATATTTTAATGTTTATCACATCTCATAATGATAAACAACATATTGAAGACTCAAGTTATGTAAAGATGGTGCTCACATTAAAATATAGATGCAAAGTAGGAAAAATAAACTCAGTGTGAGTAAATCTGCATAAGTTTGCCAATAATGATTCGATCCACATAGCGAAAAATAAGGATATGGAAAAATATGCAAGATAATATCTATAAATATACCCTTTGGTAGTTTCGTTATTGGTGAAATAACTTCCATAGGAAATATTTATTTTTGAGCCACCATTTATAGTCAGAATTCCATCTTATAAGTCTTTGTCATTTGTTTATGATATCATGACTTCATCTGTATAATCGCTCAAATGGTACAAAATGGTACAATTTTTACATTCCTATCCAACATCCAAAATAAAACAAACAATAAAATACTGATCATTAACACGTTTCGTCAAAACGTTATTTCTAAATATTTTTCAAATTTTCTTCCGTTCCGTTATCATACATGGTTAAGTATGCCATGTTAAAACGATTTTCAATATGCAAATCAACAAGTCATGTGTCAAAAAAAAATATAAAGTCGCGGTGTAATGTAATTTATCAGAACTGCATTTTGACATTGCTTGGCGTTAAGTAGGTAGTATGATGACACCAAAAGTTGATTGCTTTTGGAAGGGTATGTAACAGCCCCTTCCTACCCAAAATATTCATACTCTCAGATCATAAAGATGTGTTCAGATTGGGGATTTAAAATTTCCAAAATAGTGATATCCCTTATACGTCTTGTAACTTGTGAGAATCCACGAACACATAGGCCAGTGGCAAAAGCTGTCCACGTGCCTCCAGGCAACAGAACATAACCTAACCTGGAAGGATCTACATCTAGAAAAGTGACATGAGTCACGTGTACACAGGTTGCTTCCACGACATGTCCGCTCAACCGTCATATATCGCAAGCAGCTGAAAAATGAAACAACTAGTTATGTTAGTCCATAACCGACCGAGCCGACAGATGCAGCACCTATTGACTTTTACACAACTAGACTGTTGAAATAGGTAAGCAATCGTCCCCGTAAACTTTATGGATTATGAAAGGTATGTAGCAAAGAGTGGTGTGTTTTGGACATGGCAACCTTAAGACGAAGTTTTTTTACAATGGAAGCCAAGATGCAGGAATATTGTCAAAGAGCATTGCGATCAGATAAAAGCACACAATGAATTGTAACGACGTGGGAAAACTTCAATGCCATTTGAATATAACGTACTCAACCGTTTATAGTACTTACTTCAGTTTAGTGCAAATTAGGTATTCTTAGATTGTAAATAATAAATTATAAGAGCAGTAAAACTATGCTTGGAATGCAAAAAAAGTCAAAATCACACGTTAACACCTCTGATAAATCTTACCTGATGGAACTGAAGGCGTTCCTGGAGAAGCTGTTGTTGGATTTGTAGAACTTATTAAAGATAAAGTGGTTTCTGTAAACGGGTCGGTTGATCTGGTTACAATGTTGGTTCTGCCATCTAATAACACACTTTGTGTCGTATTTTCCTCGATAAGCCCAATGAATACAGACTCCGCTGATATGTGAAATAAATAGTTATGACAATCAAACACTAAAACAAATTTAAAATTAGTAAATCCTTAATATTAGAAATGGAACACCATGTAAAGTATTCAAACTATTTTAGAAAGAGTTATGTAGGGTGAGAATGTGAAGTAGCAATCTCTAATTGCCACAGAAATCTAATTTATGTATTTGATGTTCTACGTGTGCATTTTCAGAACAATCGTGTGCTGAGACAAATTTCCGCCGGCCTCTCTTTGTGTAAAACTCTGTGAACAAAAATTGAGGAAAAAATATATAACATCGCGAGAGAATTATCTGGTATTCAGAATTAATTCGAAAACTTTACAGAGAAGGAATTTGGAAATATTTATAAATATGTTGCTGAAATACATGTGTGTATGTTTTTATTTACTGCAGATATGTATAAATAATTTTAATTATATACTAGAAGATTAACTCGTACTTTGCCTACGATGTATGTACTAAAATTATTTGACTACTGAAACGTTGCTTAGCCAAAAAATGGTAAAAAAATTATATAGACGGGATTGATGTGCCATATGAGCCTAAGCCTAAAGAATTATTTCACGTATGTAGAATTATTAAGTGAAATACTATATATACGAGAAGAGTATATGTTTTATATAGGTAAATCTTTTAAATAATACTGTTCTTGTATTATGTAGTTGGGCATGAATGAAACAAAAATCCACTAAGTATAATGTGGAGTTGTTATAGTTAGATTTAAAGTAAACTCGTTCTTCGCATACGAAGGGTATTTAAACTTTAGGCCTAATTGTCGATTTTTAAGCAGCTGTTGGAATTTTTATTGAGATTTGATTCTATTGCATTATTTAAAAGCCACTGAAAGTAAAGAATTAACCTAATGTGTTTCCTTGCGTGTTAGTTCGTTTATGTTACTGAAATAATTGTCTTTAAAGTTTATTTTATAAACTTAGTAGTTTTGCACTCGTATAGAACAATGAACGTTAAACGCCATTCACTTTTCAATTCCTATAATCGTAAGAGTACCACTGTACAATTAGCCAATAGGAATTTTGGGCTTATATGTGAGCTAGCTCGCATACACATGGAATGACTGACACTCACTGTTCGTTTAATTACATGGATTTATATATATTTCATGTTTGCAAAAAAAAAAAAAATGCCCTAATATACATAGAGTCTTTAAGAAAATACCTCCGAGTATAAAATTACTTGTAACAAAAAAGGCTATAACTATATCATGCAATTATCATAAATAAATATAAATATATGTATATAGATATATATTTAGTTAATACAATTTTAAAGGGTTTACGGCCGAAATTATCATTAACAGCGAGGGTAAACAACTGATGAAATAATGCATTCTAATCTTTATTAGTTATATAGCTTGAACATAATGTTGAATTGCTATGCTTATTGCTTGATATATATATATATATATTATCTCTGACTTATATAGGTAGTTTTCTTTTAATCGAAAGTTAATATTAATCATCTTTGGAACAAATCGAATTTTATTATAACATGTACATGCACATGATATAAAATCATTTTCATTCAGATGTACGCTTATCTGCAGGCTCATTTTTCAAAAAACTAATACTTAAATAGCTTACTACAAAGGGAGTTTTCCATGAAATATGCAAGACCACATCGTGATAGAATTGTCTTTGTGATTATTGTACAGGTGCTATGAAACATTGCTAAGAATATAAACAACTTGTTTTATTCATTAAAAGGTGAGAACGATTTGTTACTTTATGGTTAGATAGCAAAGAAAAGAAAATTGAATTCTTATTTGAAACTTTTAGAAAAAAAAACCGAGAGAGTTATATTCTTAATATAGGAGAACTATTAGCTTCTATTTAGAAACTGTCGGTCTCAAGAATGAATAAAGACTTAACTGTTGTTTTATTTCAAATAGAATTTTATTACCAAAGATAAACTTACTTAATCTAAACAGATTATAATAAGATCAAAAACTTACGACATTCGTAAACAGCACAACAGATTCCTTCTATATGCATAGCTTCACATTCGGCATTAAGTTTAGTGTTGTCACAGAGTTCTTCCCAGCAGACGACTTCGCCAAAAATACAGCGACACTTCTCACATGGGTCAGATCTCGGAATGTGTTCTCCATGTACGAATGGCGTTCCGTCGAATAAGCAAGGTTTCTCTTCTTCAATTGAAGCTTCATTTCTTTCTAAAAGATAAAATGGTGTAGAAAGTTTTAAGAAACACTGAGTAGTAGTTAAAATGCTGAATCAATACAATACAAACTAGAGCATGCTAATAAAAACACGAAATTCACTGTTTCATTTTTGTAGTACATATTGATATATATATAAGACATTTCAATACTAGTAATAAACGACCTTATAACAATTGAAGCTTTGTACTATCAGTTACAGTTTGTGTTATAGTGGAACGCTCGTGAAGAAGTTGTAAAGCGAAAACGTTGAATATCCAATTGAAGAAAAACAACAATCTGGTCTTATAAGGGCGTTTATTACCAGTGTTAAAAACATACAATGGTTCTCAAATATTATTTACGGGTGTACTGATGAGCAGGCGGATATAAAACGCGGGTTACGACATTATAATCTCCATCGGTCAGTCAGTCCTTCTATAGTTCAGTGGCATGTTTCAGGGCTTATATCACTAAATTCAGTTTTTAATTCCTGCGGCGAACACAACCCAGATAGCATATTGCGTATTTTTGCGATAAAGCAAACAATTCAAATCACTATCAGCTTTAGTCTCATATAAGAAAGATTTATGGGTGTATCTTTGTTTATGTCTAAGTTTCGTGATCTTTAATTACACAGGGCTGCGATGATTTTATTGTCTTGAAGTTCTTACATGTTCTACAGTAATTCCTGTACGCTGAATCCGAAAATGACACCCATTTTTCTCCATCACGTACAGATTTTTTCATAACGCAATACATAAAAGAAAGACCACAACACGTAGTTTGGAGACTAAAAGACATAGATTTCACAAAAAAATCAGGATGAATGAGGATACATACTCGTTTGACATCAATGTTCGTCCATTTTCTTCAGTTTGTTTGTATTTTTGTTAACAAAAGTTTGTAACAAATCCTTACGTGATAGAAAAAAAATGAATATTATTTTCGAAATCTGCGTAGCTGAATTATGGAAAATCAGTTATTAAAACCAAGACAACTTTTATGAAGTTTAAATTCGCGGACCTGTGTTATCTATTACCACTCATATTCATCAATGACTAAGAATGTATGGTTTGTTATTTGATCAATAACATAATGATGCCAACGATAGAGATATAGACACAAGGAGAATGCGGGAACTAGAAACGTCAACTGAACAACGTATCCTAATACCTCGCTTGAAGCTTACCTGAGTTTTCATTCGAATTCTGGGGATCATCTTGAATGGAAGAATTATATTTTTTGTAGTCAATGCTATTTACCGGAGCTGAAAAAAAAAGAAAGTGAATCATTGAAAATTCTCTGAATTTTTTCTAATTTAACTGATTTATAAGCATTTTTTGACACAAAATGTCTCAGACAAAGAATGGTAGTAGAGTTGAGAGAAGTAACTACACTCACACACTATCATAGGCAAGAATACACACACATTTGGTCCCTGTCAATTGTAATTTTATCTCTAACTATGAAAACATTTTATATACACTTATATACATTTTCAGATACGATATCATCAGTCTTCTGTCCATTTATAGGCCTGGCATGGCAAGAGCATGCAACTCGCAATCTGCGGATTGAGGGTTCGAATCCTCGTCCCACCAAACATGCTCGCCCTTTCAGCCGTGGGAGCGTTATGATGTGACGGTAAATCCCACTATTTGTTTGTAAAAGAATAGCCCAAAAGTTTGCAGTGGATGGTGATGACTAATTGCCTTCCCTGTCGTCTTTCAGTGCTAAATTCGGGACGGCTAGCGAAGATAACCCTCGTGTAGCTTTGCACGAAATTCGTAACAGCCATGGGAATTAATAGCAAGTATTAGGCTTATCAATATCTGGAAAAAGAGCGCTCGGAAATGGTTATTAAAGTATTTTGAGTAAAATATGGTATAAAATGGTTTTATACAATTTGGACCTGCTGATTTTGAAAATGCTGTATATCGAGCCCTGTTTTAGGGCTTTAAACTCCAAATGGACAAAACATAAAATGGCTGCGAAACAAAAAACTTATTATTACTTTTGATCTACTCAAGATAGGAAGATGATCTAAGACCATTTTCTAACACCATATGCATCCAAGAATTCAATAAAAGCAAAACTTCAAAGGTAGAACTAACCATTCAAAGTAATCGGTAAATGATTAGATTCATTTTTTAAAAAGTCTGCGAAAAACAAAACAGATCACTACAACATCTTATCTACTCAAGATAGTGTGACGATCTAAGTATCTTTTTTAGGCATCATGTAATCCGTTGAATTAAATCAGCAAGTCATGTGACAACCACGGCCAATATAAATTCGCAGTAGAATGGAATATATCAGAACTACATTTTGAAATTGGCGTTGTGTAAGTAATGCAATGCCACCGAAAACTGATCGCTTTTGAGAAGGTTATGTAACAGCCTTTTCCGACCCAAGATATTCATACACACGGACCATAAAGTTGTGTTCAGACCGGGGATTTATAATTTCCAATATGAAAGTATCACTTTTACTTAATGGAATTTGAAAACAAAGGAATGTGGATCAACCTGTGGCACCAGCACCATCGAGAAAGAGACCTGCAGCAAATCGTACCCTACTCATGATAAACCAAGTGAGGCGTCTTGTAACAGATGAGAGTCCACAAACACAAAAAAACACTTACAAAAACCGTCTATGTGTTTCAAGCAACACTACACAACATAATCAAAAAGGATTTCCAATTGGAAAGAGACGTAAGTCACGTGTACACAAGCTGATTCCAAGATATAACCGTTCAACCGTTGCATACCTTAAACAGCTGGGAAATTAAATGAGTATTTATGCTATTCCATAATAATACATACTGGTCAAGTTGCCAAAGGTATGGCCTATAAATTGCTGTGCAATATGAGTATTGAAATGGGTATTGGTAAACCGTCTTGCTCGTACTCTAGATGAATTATAGGAATAGTGTACCTTGGGCATGACAGTTTTCAAGCGGAGCCTTTTGTAATATAAACATACACGGTCGTCAGATAGATCATGAGTTCTATTATATATTAAGTTAGTGTTCACACACACTACTCTGTGCATTTGTAGGTGCAAGTATATAGTAGTCGAGACCCTCAGCACTTGTATCACTAAGATGAGCATCTGGTGGTTAATCCACAAGTGATGACTTGTAGACAGGATTCAGGAGAGTATCAGTAGCTTCATCTAACCACCTACAAGTTTTTATCCTAGTGTTGTGGCAGAAGGAAAAGTTATCCATGGCTTAGAAGCTTCCAGCCATTTGTTGGGAGGATAAGTTCAAGTGCAGTGCTCTTGAGAACATGATAACACTTGCCTTATCTGTTGTAGCTATCTCGGGAACATTGCAAGCTTTAAACATGAAGGCCTCGATGTGTATAAGTATTTCTTCACTGAAAAGTTCTTGTCCAAGTCTGGCCGAATTCTCTACTTTAATTGAGTCTTGGGTCGATAACCGCGCTATTCTAATCATTCATACTGTATGCAACATAAAATTATCAGTCTTAAAAAATGTGCACCGTGCTTATATGATCTTAAATGATTAATACTGCACACATTTCTATTTTACTTTGTTGGATTCCTGGATGCCTGCAATATCAGACTAGTACTTTACATTGTATTCTCTCTCAATAGAAACAGAGGCTATAGTATCTTCAATTGCACTTGGCAGACATTTTGGGAAATGGCTCTGTCTTTTCAAAGATGACTTTGAATGGTTAGTCTTACACTTTTAATTTTGCTTCCATTAAATTTTTGGATGCCTAAAATGGCAATAAAGAGTCATTGTATCTTTTTGAAAATTGTTCGAATCTTAACTAATATTTGGTTGGTTAATGTTTACTGATTCTCTCTAATGACGTTTTAACATATTTTTCAACTTTTGTTCAATATCACACATTTTAACTCGTTCAAATGTCATGTGGCTCTGTCACCTTTTTAAAAAAAAATTAAAACCCTGTTTTTGGTGATTTAATAAATTAATTATTTTCCTTTCAATATTTCTAATTTTTTTTAAACTCCATTAAGTTTTATCATCATAAGTTTTATAAAAACAAAAGCAGGAAAGAAAATGAGGATTTTAAATACTTTTACAAGAAGTTTTGTTTTTGTTTTTCTGGGGTTCTCAATTATGATACAGAATACAAAACGTATATGTATAAACATATATTTATTTATATGGGGTGCATAGTAAACTCCACAATAAAGATATAAAGGATTCTTATTCTGTTGTGTTTCATGCAACTTTTATACGGGTTTTTATGTAAAATATACAATGAAAACGTTTTGAAAATGTGCAATGTAGAGTGATTCAGTGATCATGCAAGCACTTTAACATTGAAGAAGAATTTGCTGTGTTACTTATAATTTCATTATATCTTATTAAGGGTTTGTTATGCCTTACTCTTGTAAAATATTTTTAGCATTAAATATTTCTGACTTTTTAAATTTAACAGTAAATTATTAAAGGGTATTTTTTTATTGCGCGAAATCCAATAATTATATATGATCTTTGATTTTAAAATAGGTAACTTACCACAGATACTCGAATAGGGAAGTGCGGATGTGAAAATAATAAACCACAACAGGTCCTGATTTTTCATTTCTGAAAACGAACAAATTTGAGAACAATGAGAATGATATTTTTTTGTGAAGAAATAGTTTCGTTTAACAAAAATCCCTCACATCTTATACACCTCAAGAAAGTTGTCCTCTTTCCTGTGTTTCAAAGTAAATTTTAGTGTATAAGATATACTCATTTCTACCTTTCGATAAATATAACTTACTAAATAGTAAGTTATATTTCACAGTGCTGACCAATCGGCTAGCTGGACAGTGAATATCATGGAATCATAACTTACTACATAGTAACTTACGATTTTAGTGTTAGCCAAACGGTTAGCTTGACTGTGAACATTATGGTAGTCATATTTGACTGAATGGTAATGTACGTTTCATCTTGTTAATCAATCAGTTAGTTAAACAATAAACGTTATTGCAACCATATAAATAAAATGGTAAGTTACTTTTCATAGTGTTAACCAGTCAGTTAATTATACAGTAAACGTTATGGCAGTCACATTTACTGAACAATAATTTATGTTTCATAATACTGACCAATCGACTAACTTGACAACGAATGTTTTGATAATCATATTTGCTAAAGAGAAACTTACGTTTTATAATGTTGACCGATCGGCTAACACCACAGTAAACATTATAATAATCACACTTGAAAAACAGTAACATACGTTTTATAGTGCTTATCAGTCGGCTAGCTAGACAGTGAACATGGTAATCATATTTACTAAACAGCAACTTACGTTTTATCTGTTAACCACTCGACTATCTGGCCAGTGGACTTTATAATATTCACATTTCTACTATTGTCTGTGTTTCACTGTTTGTACATTCTGTTATCTTTAGTCTTATAAAACTGCAAAACGTGTTGACCTTACTTTTCAGCTTAACTCTGGTCTGTGAAGGCTGTTCTTGTCAAGTCCCTACAGTTCTGCTACACTTTGTACAAAGTATAGTTATAATGCCCTGAGGACATGATGATCTCACCTTTGTATTTTAAAGCAGAATCCTCGTTAGTGGTGCTTTAAACAACTTCACACTGGTTGATCTGTTAAGGTCGATGATGGTAAGTTGAACTTGATCACGAATAACAACTAGATGAGTTCTTTCACAAATCCTCGTGGAACATTGGAACGGAGCAGTTTTGTCGGGAATAATTTTAATTTTAGTTCTCAACACAATTAAAACAATTTACTGTGTATATCCTGTAGAATGTGATGCTCTCATGTTTCTACGAATGAGTGAACAGTTCTTTCAATCCTATGGATTATGATTTCCGAATAACAAAACACTTTGATGACATCTAAAAACTAAACAGAAATATCGTTGACCTGACTAATCGCGCTTAGACACAGACGTCCCTGTGAAATATAAAACGTTACCCGGAATCTCAAATAGACTTCCACACACATTTTTAGCAGTCATCCTACAAATGGTTAACAGGTCACGTGTAATATCTCTTTTGTTTCAAACCCAGAACCGTAACACACCCGACAGAGCAAGGTCTGACTTTCGAGAAAATAAAAATTATGGCAACACTTCATCCTACTTTGTAATGTTTACGGGTCATAAAAGTTGAATTAATAACATCCTTGCTGACGTCACTTCCGCTCCCACCATTGTTTGGCATAGAACGTTAGTTAATTTTGTGTGTATATTCGTGATAAGCGGTTATCGCCGACTAAAGTCCGGTTCACGCCGAAATTCGTAGCATTCTGTCTTGTTTCCGACCGGTCTCTTATTGATGGCGGAACTAACAAGCTTATTATTGAATTTAATTTGTCTATGTCTCATTTTATAACCCTTTCAGAACACTGGTCTATAGTTTTTCATTCTAGATATAAACAGCACATACATATAGAGGAGCACAAAAGAATGACACCTTCCTGTCTAGTACTTTTCAGGCTCAGGCAGCTCCTTTTTTCTGTTTTTCATTTCTGTAGTGGACTTACTTAAAAGCAGAGTAAAAAGAGTGCATTCCAAAAAAACTGAACATTGCGCTAGTAACACCTTAATAACACATAAAATACATAAATATTCAAAATGTTATTCAATTAAAAAAAATATTTTGTTAATTATTCTCAATTTTTTGAATTGGACAAAATAAAATGTACAGAAAGCCCCTCGTGTAGCTTTGCGCGAAATTAAAAAGAAAACAAAAAAAGAAAACGAATAAATACACAGATATTTATTTCTCCACGGTAAATCAAATAATCCGGAAGCAAATCCTATATTATGCTCGTTTTATTAATTCTTATGGGCACTACTGAAAAAAAAAATTGTTTATATCCCAGGACCTCAAAAATTAAATTCACTTTTAATCCCCCCCCCCTGAATTTTTGAACACCAGCAGCTTTTTAAGTTGTATCGTGTAATCACAGCGAATAAGAGGGGGGGGGCTCAATCTGATTGTTATTCTATTTTGTCAAAACTCAAGTACAATGTTAACTTAAATTACATAGTATTGTTTGTGTTGGGCGGAAAATAAGTTTAACGATTAAAAAACATAAATAACACCTGAAGATGACGTAGAAGACGTCGAAACATTGTATATGTAGAGTGTATTTTTATTCATATTTAAACCTCTTTAGATCTATAGTTATTCTACATTTATACCATTAAAACTAAACTGTTTCGGAACATATATATATATAATCTTTTCTGTTTTGTCTTTCCGTTTACCACTTTACTTAATAACTAAGTTAACTAGTGATTAATGATATTATAGTTGCAGTTACTAAATATCTTTGTAACCCGGCCCGGCATGGCCAGGTGGATAAGGCACTCGACTCGCAATCTGAGGGTCGCGGGTTTGAATCCTCGTCCCACCAAAATACTCGCTCTTTCAGCCGTGGGGGCGTTATAATGTGACGGTCAATCCTACTATTCGTTGGTAAAATAGTAGCCCAAGAGTTGGCAGTGGGTGGTGATGACTAGGTGCCTTCTTTCTACTCTTACACTACTAAATTAGGGACGGCTAGCGCAGATAACACTCGTGTAACTTTGCGCGAAATTCAAAAACAAACAAACTTTCTAACCCTATTTTCAGATATGGAATAAAGGCATTCCGAAATGTTCGAACCTTGTAAATAAAATGTTTGTATTTTGTCAACCTTCTTCATTTTCATTATTACCTATCTGTCTATTTGTTTGTCTTTCTATCTACTTATCTATTTCTCTCTCTCTCTCTATATATATATATACCTGTCTGTTTGTCTGTCTATATAATTATTTATCTATTTGTGTATCTAGCTATGTATTTATCTGTCTATGCATCTATACATCTATCTGTTTATTTATCATTTATCTTTGTGATTTTATAGTTTAATAAAAGAGCTTCTTCCCTAACATTAGTTATCTTATCATTACAGTCTCTTTATATACAAAACACAATTTCTGCAGGCGACTTAGGGATTTTATGAGGAATATTTCAAGTCGTGATCTTAAGTATGAAATGCAAGTTTAACAACAACTATTTCGTGACGAAGGCCATAAAAGGTACTGTTTGTAAACGTAACCAGCATGGCTAAGACTAAAATAGACTAAAATCAGTGATGGTAGAACAAATATTTAGGTTCTTGTTCATACAACTTACCCTTAATGAATAAGAGTATTGTTTCTAGAAGTTATATTTTTTTATTTCCATTACCACAAACACATATTAGAAGTAAATTGTTAGTAATGACGCCATCTGTATTTTGTTGTTGTTTTTCTTTGGGCTTACACCTTAGTTGCTGTTTAGTTGAATAAGTAAAGAGTTTCTATTGATTGACATATAAATTGGTTTTTATTGCATGACACACTAATATATTGAAGAACTCAGGCAAAAAATACAACTTTTTTATTTATTTATCAATCAGAATTCTGACAATCATAATATTTTGCAACTGCCATACAAGAACATTTAAATGAATGTCAACAACAATGGTTGTAAGTGCTTTTTTTTGGAGGGGGGTAGGAGATGTCCAAAATATATTTCAACTGACAAACCAAGCAAAGGCGATCAATAAAAAAAAACAATCCACAGTCATAAAAAAACTCAGACCATCATTGTGAACAGTGCCTAGAATTGTAATAAAAGTGTATTGCAGTAGTTATAGAATTACATTTATAATACATTTTGAATTATAATCTTTAAAATGTATTAAGACTAACCTTAAAAAATTGTTGTTTGTTTCAGTGGAAAGCGACGTTTAGCGTGACTAGCTCGTGCATTAACCCTAACAACAAAAGACAAAGACCATCAACTTTCACAAGAGCAGAAAAGGACACGAAGGTACGTGGAATAAACCAGTTTCTAGATGTTAGTCAAGATCTTCGTGTTGAAGTAGACTGGGGGGAGGAGATTGTTCAAACTTTATAAGATATCACAAAGTTAGGCTTGAATTTGCGCTTCACCTAACTTTAAGCACTATGAGTCTCCTTCAGATAGGTTTAGTGAAATATTAAACTTTTGTTCTGTTCTAAACATCATAATTTTGGATAATTTTTTGTAAGAATCTAAACTATTGTGCTATCACATGGTGTATATTAGCTCATTTCGCAATAAAATATTTATAGATCATGGTCGTACTAATGCATCGATGTCACGCAGATAATGCTGAATGTATTACTCATACGTAATACTTATTAAAGGAAATTGTTTATAATGCTGAGTGTAGGACTTGTATGATGATGTCATCAAAAAAAAGTATCGCTGTTTCACGCTTAAGGCATTCTTATAAGTTCAGCGTTTTTTCCCTTTTGAATAATTTTGCAACTTCAGCCCAAACGTTGCTGATTTGTATTCATTCGAACCTGAACTTTTATTTTTAATAAACCTCAGTGAAGAAGACTAAAACAAAGATTTGCATATCAATCGTGCTTACCAATGTATAAACTCTTTCTTTTATCGAACTTTCTAGGTTATCCTGGCATTGATAAACATAACCGCCAGGATTCACCCTGGAAGAAGCTCTTTCATTACAGAAAACATACAAGTTATTTCGTCTATCATATAAGTATCGTTAATCAAACATTCATGTTCAAACTTTTTGATAAAATACCCTTATTCTCGAAACTATAAATTCACTATTTTCTAATACATTTACTCTGCAATCCTTACTCTTCACGACTCATTAGATATAATAGGATATGTTCAATATTATAAGATTTGTTAAGCTAGGCTAAACTCATCAACTCACTTATGTTTTTAACACACAAAAAGGTTTCTTCTACAGTATTACAAGTATCACATTTATTTAATTTTGTGACATATTTAAAAACTCTAGTTGCTATTGTTTATTGAATTAAATATTTTACAAAATACCTTGATCTTTTCAAAATTATCTTAGCTACACCTTTATTTCTGTAACAGTTATGAACAGTTTTAGTATGTCGAGCGACCGTTTTTTATACATTTCTCCAGCTATATAGAAGTTACACTAGACGTACTTATGCAGGGGTCCCCGAAAGTGTTCTGTTTCAAGAGTAAATAAAACCAAAATGAAGAATATCAAAGATTTCTTTTCTTGCTTTTGAAGTTTATATGTCATGCTGTGTTATAGCCTACATAGTGCATAATTCTTCTCGTGATTCATGGCATGCACACGTTTTACTGACGTCACGACAGAAAAAATTGCAACATTAAGCGTCCCTTATGTGACGTCATTTTGGTGTCTACTGACTGACTGACAGGCAACACACTACTATATAGTGATGCGAGTAGTTCAAACTGGTAGCCCCTCCAGGCGGCCTTCGGCCCTCTTTCGGGGAAATAACTACTCATTATATAGTACAGCACTACTTCGTTACTTGGTTAGATCAGTATTTGTCAACATTATTAGCTATTGTATTTACCGTTGTTGGTATTTAATTATTTATTTAGTCAACTTATTAGTATGATAAATTACATATACAAATAATTTCTCGAGTAATTATTAGGGATTGATTCAATTTAGTTACAGGACTTACGGTTTACAATTTGCTGAATTAACAGACTTATAACGCTAAAATCCATCGTTCGGCTCCCTGTGGTGAGCATAGCAGATAGCCCAATGTGGCTTTGCTATAAAACAAACTAAACAAATATTAAATATTTTAACTTACATACATAGATATTACTATTTTGCAAATGTTTACGGTTTATTTTCTGTAGTTTTCCACTACTGACTCTAACGTTAAATAATAGCACATGTGGGAAGCCATTTTATTTTTTGCGTTAAATTAATAAATTACACAACCGGAATCCAAAAATTCGTTTTCATTGGTCGCTCATCTGTTTTTTGAGAGGATTATAGATACATATGCTTATATTGGTGTAACCTTTGTGCACAATGGGCTATCTGCGCTCTGGCCACCGTGAGTATCGAACCACGATTTTTAGCGTAGTAAGCCCCAAGCCTATTACTGAGCTACCCAGGTGCGGTGTAACGTAGTCTAGATTCAGTAACAGAACATCAGTATACAGTATACAAAGTAAATTATATTAAGAAGATTTTTAATACACAAACCAGCAAGTCACGTGATAACCAAAAGTGATATAAATTCACCGTGGAACACCATGTATCAG